CCCTGTCTTTTTATCCCGCTCAATTTTATGGAGCGACAGATCACCACAGAACCGTAGACTGCTTTGGGATGGAAGGGACCTTTAGAGGCCATCTAGTCCACTCCCCTGCAATGGGCAGGGACATCTGCAACCAGATCAGGTTGCTCAGAGCCCCGTCCAGCCTGGCCTTGAATGTTTCCAAGGATGGGGCATCTACCACCGCTCTGGGCAACCTGTTCCAGTGTTTCACCAGCCTCATTGCTCTGTTGTTACTAGACCAGCTTCCATTTGTGCGTGGGCGTTAGATCTCACAGAAAATCACATGTATGGAGCTGTCTTCAGTATTTTCTCACCTAAAACTGTATCTCATGGATCATCACAGCCATAAATTTAATCCATAAGCATGGGCCTTATCGCTGAGACCCAGTGCTCTAGAAAATGAGTTTCCAAATATCGTAGCAGCTTTGGTGAGAAACCTTATTTTACATGTACTGTGAGTAGTATAATTCCATTCTTTGTTATCATCTAAAGTACAGCTGAGGATGTGGGTGAGAAGATTATGAGATCTGCAACCCTGAAGACAGGAGAAATTTGCAAGTTGCAGCTGTAAGAGTTTGGCGGTGCTGAGCACCGGTGGTTGCCCCACGGTGTAATTCCCAGCTGGCAGCCTCAGATTCTCCTTGCTGGAATTGCCCATCTCATCTCTCTTCTGCCAGTTCAGGCACTTCCATCAAGATGAGCTCACTGGGCTCTGCCTCTAGAGAAGTGTCATTAAAAATTTGTCCCGTTCTCAATCTGAAGCAACCCATCGACAGCCATATGATTCTTGCTACACCTAAAAAATACTGACATCCCCGAAGCCTATCTTTGCCAGAAAAGTAAAAAAATGTAACCCAACTTGTTCCTGTAAGGAGACCAGCAGCATCCATGTAACACCCTGGCTGAAAGAATTAATCCTCTCTTTTATTACTTGCTCTATTAATGGTGATTTATTTAGAGGTTGGATTTAATTCCCTAAGAAGAAGGGATCTTTTTTCTCTGTACTTTTTTGAATGGTGTGTCTACCACTGGGATTACCAAATAATTTATCAGCACCTGCTAGGCTAAGTAGTAAAAGCCTTGGTGCTAGTGCAGAGGAGAACGCTAAGAGTTGGCTCACTGGAGGAAATTTCTGCTCTTCACCTGGTGGGGAGGCATGGGAAATTGCTTTCATACAGGCAAGGTCCGGTGCCTTGACACTGGTCGCCGTCTCTCGCCCATCCCTGTGGAAGTGGCATCCCCTGCGTTGTCCCCGGCAGCTGCAGCAGCAGGAAGGCAGCTCACCAGGCAGGACAGCAGTTGACTGCAGTGCTGTCCCTGCAACCTGGCTGTGCTCGGCTTGGCTCGCTGCCTCTCCGTGGGAACAGAGCACAGGGCTTGCCACTGCCCGGAGCAGAAAGGCTTTAGGCTCAGCTTCTTCTCCCTACAGCTACGTCCACTGCGGTTTCTGAAGTGCTCCCTGCTGTTAGTCTAAGCAGGGGCTTCAAAAAGAATCTCTCTTGCCCATGCATGATTGATCCCACGCACCAGAAAGGGGCAAAGCTTCTCAGGCATCCATTGCCACATCCCAGGCTCACAGCCTTCTTTGAGAGACCTACCAGGGGTCATGGGTAGAAAAACAATAATAAACTCTGCCTGTTTCAGGAAAGCATGTCCAGCTATGCAAAATATTTGTAATACAGGCCAGGAAGTGAGCTTCAACACCAGACCTGCAATTGTCCAGGCTGCCTAATTGTTAGCTTGCTCCCTGGCTCTGTTTTGCAACTGCTTTTAATTAATCCTCTTCATAACAATGTCCAGGGGGATTATTTCAATGACAGTTCATTCCAAAGACAGCTCCCAAGAGAGCAGTGTGCATTTGGGGAATCCGCCGCTCGAGATAGGACTACAATAATAATAAAAAAAATTCACCATGAGGGTGACTAAGCACTGGAACATATCGCCCACACGGGTCTGTGAAATCTCCTTCTGTGGAGATACTCACAGCTTGGCTGAGCAAGACCTTCAGTACCGATCCAGCTTTGAAGTGAGACCTGCTTTGAGCAGGTGGTTGGGCTAGCTGGCCTCTAGCAGTCCCTTCCAACCAACATTCTTCCATGATTCATCAGGCTTTGAGCCCTCAGGTACCCTCAGATGCTCTCAGTGCTACATCGCGGGGTCCGAGATACCCACGCTCATCTTTATGAAACAGAAACCACTGCCTTGGTGAACTGTAGCACAGCGCTCACCGCCAGGAACTTGGAAACAGAAAAAAACCCATCCCATGGCAGGGCCACAGGGCTACCAGAGAGTCAAGAGGAGACCCGCGGCTGCGCAGCGCAAACAAGGCCACGGTGTTGGAGATGGATGTCACCCCAAGCAGTGTGGATGTGAGCCAGGTCTCGCCGTTTAGCCGCAGGGTTAGGGACCCCTCCCGACCGTTTGAGCAGTAAGGCTGCGGAAAAGAGGTGCAGTCAGTGTAACATGAAAAACCTAGACCAGAAGAAGTGAATTATAATTTAAAGGAAGCATTGCTGAGGATGGTCTCTTGAATCCATGGCACAGTCCGAAATCCCAACAGGGCTACCATGCTAGTTATGTAAATGTTTTTTGGGGGACATTTTAAGCTTTTCTAGTCTTGAACACAGTCAGGACTGCATTCAGTTACTGAACTGTTACGGCATTCAATAACTACATAGGATAAAACATTCAAAAAATACCCTACCTAGCACTAAACTGGAAGTTTGGGGTGACGGTTTCATTACAGTGAAAGAAGGAGAGAAAAAACGGATAGGAAGAAGGTGTATGTTTTAAACTCAGACAAGATATTTTCTTTAGGAAAACCTAGCGACTGTGCCAATTCAGAAAATATCCAGAAGAATCAAGCTGTTCTTTATGAAACAAACTGCGGTTTCTTTCATGAACATAAGAACTAACTACAGTGGGATATTTTGGAAAGGCATATGTCTCCTTGACATCAGGATAATAAGTATTTACATACAGTCACAGGTAAAAGCATAGGAAACCAAGAGAGCCTATCGCTTTCCCACCTTTCTCAAACACTCATATAAAACAGGTGATACAAGGTTTAATAACATAGCCTTTATTGATGACACTGGAAAGCAGATGTTTTAAAGCAACTAATTTTTCATAAACAGGAAAGAAAATTTTACTTCCTATGATGTAATTACATAAAATCTGTTTAAGTCACTAATATAAAAAAATAAAAAAAGTTTGCATACTTCGTAATGTAGTACCATCAAGAAGTCCTAAGTAACAGTATTTTCTATAAGAAAGGGGAAAATAACAGAAATTTGCATGGACAGAAGTCAATAGTATAAAGCAATTAAATGTATGTTATAAGGATTTCTGATGATTTGTGAGCTCAGTTCTTGAGGATGGCTAAAGAAACAGATCCTAGCAGGATCAAACCTTGTATATTTACACTCATCGGTGTAAAAGTAATATTGCCAGTTAATTGAAATACGCGTTTTCAGTATTGTTCTGAAAATTAATGAAGTCTAGAAGCTAAATTTTAAGCTCAGGTGTTCACATTTGAAATAAAATACTGCTTGCATCCTGTGTAATTAAGGCAAAGTACGTTATCTTTTAAAATACCTTGTATATAGTTTCTGCATAAAAATACAAAATAAAAACTATATATATATATTTAATGGAACACTGTTATGTATGGTCCAGCAGAATAAGGCACAAAAAGTAAACAGAATGCAAAAGCATATATAAAAGTTAATGTGTTATTTTGAGTGGAATATAGCAAAATTCAAGTAGTTCTGAGTATGCTCATTTCTTGCAATAGGAATATATATTTTATATAGGTATTTCATGCTAAGCCTGATGTACAAAGATTCATCATGTAAGCATAATCTATCAGAAGCAGGTCATTTGTACAGTGACTGTCCTTAGAAATATGGTACTTCTCAAACCATCTGAAACAAGGCTACTCTAATGAGACGACTTGGCCTGAAATCCAAGCGTGAATTTTTCCACGAGGCGAAGTACATTGGTTTCTTGCCCAAGTCACTTGGGCAAGTTTTGCCTGCATGCTTTATTTGAAGGTTAATAATTCCATGAATATAAATGACAATACATGCCCCTAAAGTTGGACACATTTGCACAGTTTGTTTTTGCGGGTATTCACAAGCAAATTTTCTGTCTCCATAAATTTCCACAGAGATTACTATGCAGAATGGGCCACTTGCATCAGTTCAACCGCATTATCAGGGTCAGAAACCTTTCAGGTGAGCTGGTATTTAATTTCGTTTGGAAGTATGGTCTGTTTATCAACAAATAAGCATACATGTATATGTATAGAGAACAGAGAATCTTAAGATATTTCAATTTGATAGAAGGCACACATCATCAGTTGTTGTCTGATTGCAGCCTCAAAGCACCCCCCCCGCCAACTAATACGTATAAGATTTTCACAAAGGAAGGGGAGAGCAGATGAAGTCTTTACTTCCTTCCCAAAGTTTCAGCTAGTTTCTTCAGTCTTTTCTTCAGCTCTAGAGGAAACTTCTCGTAACACTTTTTGCAGACAGGCTTCATATCAAACTCAACAAATTTATTCCTAAAACAACAAAGCAAAAACCAGACAAAGTTTTAGCAGCAGGGATAGTGAAAAAAAAAATTTAAAAAGTATCCTATTAAACATGCACAGGCAAAAAATTACAACTACATTTATACATATGTATGAAGGTACTTTCACAAGGTTATACATTGTAGGCAGCAATTACAGTACCCTGTTGAGTAAGTTACGCATTTTTTACCCAAATGTCCATATTTGTCAATTGTGTCATTTAAAAAGCCTTTGAAACCTAATTGTAGAGCTAAACAGGCTAAACATAAGATAATGGAATAACACGTTAATATTTCAAGTTGCAGTTCTGTGAAAAATGTTTTAGTTTTGATTGCTATAAATTCATGCAAAAACTTAAAATGAAAGCATCCTTAGCACTGACCAAAGAAGAAAGGAGCAGAGGTGGTGGTGAGAAGGAAAAAGAGTTTACAAACAGATTGGCTTTTTCTTTTTCTGCTTCTCTTTATCCTTTGCTTCACGTTCCCGTTTGGCAAGTCGTCGCTTAAATTCATCTGGCATTTTCTCATAACAGTGTTTGCAGACAGGTTTTAGATCAATTTCAACAAACTTATCCCTTTAGAGGTAAGCAGAGAAAAAAATAAAGGACAGAAAAGAAGAAGAGTTAAGACGACTAACTGAAGGAAGACCTGAACAGACAGCTGAAAGAGATGTAAATTAGTAAGTGGAAGAAGAGGAAGAAAGATGCACATATTTTCTCAATGCTGCTTATATGTTTTTCATACCGTAACCGTTACACTATAGCAACATCTACACTTTGAAGATAACCGCTGATATGTTTTGAAGGCATCACGCTTATCGATAAACTTACTTGAGTGTTAACTTAGTGTTGCAAGTTGAACAAGCGAAACAGTTCACACACCATGCCTTATTCAGAGCAGACACAACTAGGGCGATGGGAAAAAAAAGAAATCATTAGCATTACAGAGAAAAAGAAAAGGTATTACAGAAATTTTAAGCTCCCACATTCATGAGGCATGACGAACAGCCATTTGATTCTTCTACCAAGTATTAAGGACTGTAACAATAACTTGGCAAGGCTAGGAAGGCACATGTGAGTGCAGTGTAACAGGACTGTGAAGCACTGGTAAAGCTGTCTCTGAGGGGACATACAACTCTGTGTTCACCAGCAAGACCGGTTTAACCTATTTCTGCCTCCTGTTGCCTGCTTCCACCTCATCGCATGGCATGTTGACCTCAAGCAACTGTTTTATGAGGGCTGTGTTTACAACTTAATCAGGAGGCTTTTTCAGCTGAAAAGCAATCCAGCAAGAAGGTGTTTGTGTTTTCATTCGGTTTCATTTCTCAGCTCCTGTTCAGACTGCAGTGCCATCAACAGCAGCACTTGCCTGGCTGAAGAAAATAACGTGAAGCCAGCAGTCAGGACACTGCTGGTAAATCAGCGCTACCAAGGTGAAAAAATTTATGGACTCCTGGGATAAATTGCTTGATCAAGACAAACTTGGATATATTTTTATTCTTTGCTTTGGAGAGAAAGTAACTATTTTCTCTTTGTTCTCTACCTCAATCCGTTGTCTGTTCTTCCTCTCTTTCAAGGTACCTTTCCACTTTTCCCTGCCAACATTTGCCTCTCTTCTTAATCTAAGTTAGAAGATGCAGGACAATGGTTTTCTCATAAACTACAGCATTTTGTCAACAACAAACAGAACCAGAGCATTGTCATGCAGAGCTTTTTTTCCTGCGCTATGGAGCAAGCACATCCACAGAAGCATAGTTATCCCACTGCTTGCCAAAATAATACTAGTCAGATGAAAGTCTTCACTCCCAAGCAACCTCTGGAATACAGTCATAGTCACCCTCCTGAAAAACTGCTGCCACAGATGTTTGTTTCACCAGAGAGAACAATATTGGATACTGTCCTGGTTTCAGCTGGGATAGAGTTAATTTTCTTCCTAGTAGCTGGTGTAGTGCTGTGTTTTGGATTTAGCATGAGAATAATGTTGATAACACACTGATGTTTTGGTTGTTGCTGAACAGCATTTACACCGGTCAAGGACTTTTCAGCTTCCCCTGCTCTGCCAGGTGCACAAGAAGCTGGGAGGGGGCACAGCCAGGACAGCTGACCCAGACTGGCCAAGGAGCTATTCCATACCGTATGGCGTCATGCTCAGTATGTAAACTGGGGGAAGAAGAAGGAAGGGGGGACATTCAGCGTGATGGCGTTTGTCTTCCCAAGTAACTGTTAGGCGTGACGGAGCCCTGCTTTCCCGGGGATGGCTGAACACCTGCCTGCTGATGGGAAGTAGTGAATGAATTCCTTGTTTTGCTTTGCTTGTGTGCGTGGCTTTTGTTTTACCTATTAAAGTGTCTTTATCTCAACCCACCAGTTTTCTCACTTTTCCAATTCTCTCCCCCATCCCACCAGGGGGGAGTGAGCGAGCAGCTGTGTGGTGCTTAGTTGCTGGCTAGGGTTAAACCATGATAGGTACTCATAATTTGTGACTGCAGTGTCAAATTTGTGTGCAGAAATGAAAGAAGAAATGTAAAATAATTGAAGACGTACATTGAAAATAAAGAAATTACTGCATTACACTATATTCTGTTCAGTTCAGAGACTAAAACATACAACATGGGTGTCAGAATATATGGTGAAAGGTTAGAAACATACAGAGATATAGTTATCAGACAAGACTGAATTTATTCATTCACCTCAAGTTCCAGTTCTGCTCATTCTAGTAGGATTTTACTGAAGAGGAGGACACTGTTTCCTCCAAAGCGTTTTGGATTGTCATTCTGCAGGTATAGTCCAGTCCAGAAAATGTGGGGAAAGCACACGTCTGGAATGTAGGTCTCACCCTATAGTTACATGACTACTAGTTTATGTCTCTTTTTACATGCTAGAGGCTTCCTCCTACTTTGCTAATGGCTTTGGCTTAGGTGAGGCTAACATTGGTATTATAGTATTTACTTTGGGCAGGGGTAAATAGGCACATAATGTTGCATTATTTCAGGTGGAATAATTTGCTTTTGGCATTTTATCATAGCTGGTTGTCCAAAAAAACCTCAAAACCACCATCCCCCCCCAAAAAAAACAAACCACAACAACAACCAAACAACAAAAAAACAAACAAACTTAAACCACTTGCTTCCAGTTCTGCCTTTACAGGACACATCTTTCCAAGCATGATCTTTCCTGGTTTTGTGACATTATCATCAGCCTAGATTTTCAAAAGACAGGTGCCTGCGATAGATAGGTAAATGTCTCTAGGAACCAAACTGACATAATGGGAACTAGGCACTTTTAAAAAATCCTTTGGAGTGCCCACCTATGTCTTTCAATATCTAAATACTTTTTCAAATTTGGTTCATGATTCCTAAATTCATTTGAGGAGATGCCTGAGTGGTCATTCTCACCCTTGCATGTGTTCTTTTTTGAAGTCAGTGGGGCAGAAAGCCACTTCTGTGCATCTCCCAGCATCCCCGGCCTTCTCATGTCACTAAGGGGTTTCCAGTTGACCACGGTTCTCTTCAGCCACTGGGTGGTCTTCTACCATCACGAAATGCTCGCTGTAAGGTTTTCTTACCATTTGGTCTCTTGACTAATCAGCTCTAACCTAATTTCTGATCAAGAGAATGGCTGATTTTGTTTTCATGAGTACAATCAAGGATTCAACCGGGGCCTGCTTTCCCCTTCCTTCCACTTTTAAAGAGAGCTTCCATCAGAAAGGAACATTAAGGAAACAGTTAGAAAAGTGCTTACCATCTCCTTCAATCACACGGTTGCAATGGAAACAAACATCACCAAATAGCTGAAGACGAAAGAGAAGTAATGAATTTTTATTGTAATGATTTTATTGAGGGTAGCTTCTCAAACGAACAAAATAACTATATTTCAGCTGATGAGCACAATAGCTTTCCTGTTTATTTCAGTAAAATAAAGAGAATGCTGGCAAGTCTGGTTTGGTTTTCCAGGTACGTTTTTCATCGTCTCATCACAACAAATCTTTACAATATTAAAGATGAAAACATTTGTTTACATCTGTTTGATCCTCTGTAAATATGACTTTGTTTTGTTTTAACATTTCTCTAATCCTGAACATTTGAAATAAAGCAGTCAGTGTCACATACACATCATTACTAATCAACCAATTTAACATTTGGATGTACATGTATGACTAGAACAACATATTGCTGTTTCTAGCAAAAACTGTAAGGAAATGTTATTTTTATTAAAAAAAAAAAAAGGAAAATTTAGGCCAAAAATTATTCATTCTATTTCTAGGCTTAACATTTGTCCACAATGTAGCAATTAAGAAGTTCCCAAAATTTCATGTAGTTTTTCTAACTGTAGTAGTTAACCTAGTAAAAGACATTCACTCTACATATAGCTCTTGTCTGGTATACGTACTTGCCCCATCATGGCTGCAATACTATTACTACTAATGTCATGGCATTTATTGTCTACAAGTATGCCAGCAACATTTGAATCATCTGCCCTTCATCACTGACAAGTTAAGAATCCATCTGTAATTAGCAGATGCCTTACAACTTCCAGATGTAACCCCTAGTCTTGTACTTATACAAGCAAGGAGGTGGACATAACACAACACAGATGGCTTCCAGATAAGAAGGTCTCTACATCGTGGTGCTGGCCTACACAGTCAAGGGAGTCTGGAGAGAGGTGGTACTGCAGTATGTAAGGCCAATAAAAATGCAAGCGGTCACTAGGTGGTGTCCTCTGACAAATTTAGTCTTCGCAGTCTTCAGCAACCTAAGGAGTGACCTGGGTGATGCAGTGTATGTTAACACACAGTCATCTTAGAGTAGCAGCTGCAGGGAAAACCACGCTACTCGCTAGGGCCTCGTCTCAAACCGCAGCTACCTAGCGGCAAATCTTCTTTAGCTTCTTCGGAAAGATTGGGTGTCATTAGCTGTTCTGATCTCACAGACATGTAAAAGCTCTCAACAGCTCTACTTAAGTACCACTAAGCTTGAAGAAGAGCTCCATACTGAGTGTCCTTTGTGAAATCCCTGCAGTTTTCTTTCTCAATACCAGACCAATGTATAGAGAAACCTGTATGAATTAACTGCAACAGAATGTCTATTAATTGGCATTACACCCACAAGTGCCTATAACAAAAGAGAAGAATGTCCATGGGTTTCCATCTCTATCTAATAAAACCAATTCATGCGTTTACCAATTAACACCATTTTTAAAAATATGCAACCTTACCTGATTGTAGTGGGTTTCACAATACGCCAAGCCTTTTCTCTCGTAATGACGATGACCCAGGAATGGCTTTTCACATTTTGCACAAACAAAATGCTACAAAGAAAATTATATACATTTTTTTTGTTACTTGGAAGTAACGGTATTTTTCTGGAAAGCAAACAAACCAAGCCCAGTACTGAACACGATGGAAGTCTACTGAGCTAGCTGTGCCATCTTGAAAAGGAGAGTTAAAACTTTTTTGTTTCTACATTTAGACCACTAAAATAATGCTCCTTTTAATGTCTTCAACATTTCAATCCAAAAGTTATGAATAAAAAAAAAATCAAGCAAAGGGATTCTGATATGTTATCAGTGAACAGAATGAAGAGATTTTAAATAATTTGCTCCAACATTACACTCTTGTGAAGAAAGAGGAGATTTTCAGAACAACTAAAGAAATAGACTGTTTATCCTCCTAGATCTTGTACATGGCCCTGAAATACAAACCTGCACATAAAGTGCTTTAGAGATATTAACATGGCAGGTGACTATGGAAGACATAAGGCTATTATGATGCTCATAACATTGTGGTTGCCACAGAATTTTACTGCCTTTCCACATGTACTGTTTTGCACTCTGAAATTTTCTTCTATAAGGACCTCACAGTGCTTCCTGTGATTACTGATTTTAGCTTCACAGTCAAAGCTCTCTGTAAGGTAGGAGATAACTCCTAGTTCACAGTGGGAGACCAGCCACAAGAAGACTGAAGACGGCATTAGGAGAAGGTATTTACTAATCATTGCTGCGTACTTTGCTACTCCTTTCCTTGAAACTGATCAGCGAAATCCCAGATGAGTATGTTAATGTTTATGTTTGGAAAAGACAATGTATCATTTGATGTTTACCTCCACATGCCATTGTTTGCCCATAGCATTCACCACACGGCCTTCAATTGGTCTTCTACATGCCCCACAGATAGGGACACCCATTTTGTCATGGCAGGGTAAGCAGTATAATTCTCCCTTCAACTCACGAGCATCAGCAGTAAGTTCCTTCCTGTTCAAAAGTTAATGAATTGAGAGCATGAATAAAGGCACTGAACAATGTCAACTCTTGAGAGTTTCTGAAAAGAAAAAAATAATTTTTAGCATTTGTTTTATAAATTGTATTTGTACTACAGTAATGCAGCAGCATCAAATATGACGTAGTTCAACATAGTGCAAGACTGATCACAGTAAACCAAGATCAGGCTGCTAAGTGAGATGCACTAAGTCTCTCTGAAGACAGCTACCGAGCTATTGTCATTCTGCATTCTGGTTATGCAGCACACGTGTGTGTGCAAGCTCTAGGCATGTTTGGTTTATATTCTGGCACTCTCCAGTTTATTTTAGATTTGCATAACTGTAGCTGAAAGTAAAATGTAGTCTTCTACATCTAGGTACATTTTCCCTGTTCGATCAAACTTCAGAGAAAGAAAACTACAGACTCACATGAGCTAGCTAAGTTTATTCATTGCCAATTGCAGAATCTCATATACTCTACTTTTTAGTAATTTGCATGGTTAGAATACTGAGAACAGCTAAATTTTGAACGTGACTGTACTCACTAATGCTCTCAACTGGTTGCAACTGACACACCACCACATGTTGTTATTCAAATTAGCCTTTGCTATGGCACTGAAATGATGGCTTCCTTTGCACCAGAAATAAACAAGTAGCAATCCCTGCTCTATCCTGCAATGCCCCCTGATCTCTGCGTCGGTGCAGGATGTAGAAATGTGCAGCTTCATGCACTGCAGTTGCAGAAGCTGATAAGATGAGGTGGGAGAAAGCTTCTAAGAAAAAGATATGCTTTAAAAGGAGAGAACTAAGTTTGCATGCCACTCAACTAAAAAGAAATAACATAGGCAAGACGGTAACTCAAGCAGCCAAAGAGAACCACTTTTCTTCCTCTCGTAGCAGAATAACAAGCTATTATTTCACAGCTACAGAAACCGTTATCTGTGTCCACGCTTTACATTTTGTAAGGTACCACCTTGTCCTGCAGAGTCCAACCTTTCTTTACTCCTTGACAGGTCAGCTGTTGTTTGAACACAAGGTCCAACTCCACCATCCCAAAAGCAGTAATACACATCTGGCTGCAAGGCACCTAAACCCCACCCCTCTTGCCAGTTGTACAGGACAGGTTTTCACTTTAAGATATAAATCGATGAAGCAAATAAACCCAGCATTTTCCTGTTTTCCTTTGCAGAACTCAAGTTACCCGCAGTTTGCACAGTTGAAATGATCAGGGTGATAAGGATCATTTTTGAATATGAGAGGCTGTTCATCAATAATGGCATGACACTTCTGGCAAATATACTTTCCCAGGCCTCGGGCTTTTTCCCTGTTATGGCAAGGACGGCAGAGATGTCTGAAACAACATAAAAAAGAGAGGTAAGTACTGGTACCAGGTACTACAGTGCAAAATATAAACAAAAAATCTATTAGAATCTCATTTAAATCAGCCCTTTTGGGAGGGAAAACAGTCTTTAAAACAATTTCCTTGTTAGGCAAACCAAGTTCAGAAGAGGGAGGGCTATCATATTCTGTCACCACAGGGACATAATTTCTTCAGCTCATTTGAGTTTAGGCTGTGTTGAAACACAGAAAACAAGTTTGTGATAGATTCGCATTGCTGAATGTTTTATTCTCAAAATCTTAAAAATTTAGATTGGAAGCTGCACGACCACACAGGTCTTAATTCTGTAAATAAGCATGTGTATCATATTATACATATGAAGCCAATGGCCACAGAATCCACTTGTAAAACATTCTTATGATCACAGCTGGTAAAAATATCCTACTCTGTGAAGTGTCACACTGAACTTAAAGCAATTATTAATAAATAAGGTGCTAAACTAGACCAGAATTGGAAACGCAAGTTGCAAAAAGAAAGTAAAAAGTGATAATAAAAAAATAAAGATACTGCTTCTGAATGTTTTCTCTCTTATTATGTGTCACAATGGCCCTAAAATGTTACCGGGTAGAGAACACATTTGCTGAGAAATCTGGTGTTGAAGTAGGTAAACTCTTAATAGTTTAAGATACCCATTCGTAGTTTTGTGATGCACTCTTAGACTTTTTCCCCACAAAAGGCACTTCAGTTGCTCCACCTCAGCTGGAAAGCTTCAGGAACCAAAACCACTCAGTCCCTTCTCTCAGTTCATTTTATTCATGATCAGTAACAGAAGGAAGGGTGAAGATCTACCTGCCGGCGTTCTTGACAAATCCAATATCGGCCAATACTTGTTGGCAGATATCACAGCAGAAGCACTCTGGATGCCAGCTATTGTTCATAGCTTTAATAACACGACCAATAATAAACTCACCTGTAAGAAACACAAGACCGGAATGTAAAATACTATGCTAGACAAAGTTAAAAGAAACCCACAACCGAGTCACTACAATGATGTCATCATCCTCTTCCTCCCCCCCAAATCTGGTAGGATACATTGCTTTTAGTATCACGTTTCTGGTTCTAAACTCTGGAATTTGGTTTTGTTTGGTTTTTTTGCTATGGGTCAGAAGAAAACATCCTTGCTGATGGAGGACCTTCTCTTCTTTACATACAAGCCCTTCTACATGCACACTCTACCTTCTCTCTGCAATCATCCTTTTTCAGTCCCTTCCCTGTTTTTACTTACCTGTTCTCAAACTGTTAAGAACAGGCAGTGGAGCCATGTCCACCATACATGCGATTTAGTCGTTCTCTATGTGGACATCGTAGCCAAGGCCCCTGAGCAGTGCAAAGGCTCTGCCTAAAACACATCGGGAGCTCAGCTTCCCGGTGCTGTGGGAGATTGAGTCCTGGCTCTGGAGGCCATACAACTCAAACAGCTGCCATAGGGGAGCGGTCGGGCAGTAACAAATACAGCCGGTAACATCTAGCACGTGACTGTGTGGCGCTGCTGTGAAGGCATAGCTTTTCAAGAACAAAACTCAAGACTCTAGAAATCTTGGGAATGCTTGAGGCCTCATCACTGACAACAGCCCCATCGATTTTGGCTGCGCTTACTAAATCCAAGCAGTGGCAAAGCCCAGCTCCATGCAGGACCCCGGTGAGGTTTTAAGGGAGCTGGTGCTACGAGGAGCCAGGGCAGGAGCAGTGGGAGCGGGGGAGGGGAAACTCCAGAGATAGGCAGCGCAGCTCCTCCATGCTACCCCTGTCTGGGGCCAAAGCTGCTTTTGGCTCCTGGGTGCCAAAGAGGAGAAGGCCCCTCTACCCAACTTGCTGGGGGGAGGATGGGTGCTAACAGACACCAGCAGAAGTCAGCAGCATGTGGACGATGCTGGTGTGTGGGAAGAGCAGCACGTTGCATCTCAAGGGGTTAGGTATGAGGTTTCACCCAGCGCCTTTAGAGGCAAGGAGCAGGGAAGCAGAAGAGGAGGCCCGGGCAGAGGGGAGCAGGAAGGGGAGGAAGGAAGGGGGCTGTGGAGCGACCGGAGGAGCATAAGGAGCCCTCACACGTGGGAAGTGACCAGCTGGTGGAAGGGACGAGGTGACAAGACTTCCTGGTTTGTCATGTACTTCAGGCTTGCTCAGAAATCGCCACCGACCCCTTTCTTCCTCTTCCCCTGTTTCTTCACATCTGCAGCTTTAGATTCAAAGGTCCGTAACATCTGCTTCCCTCTCCCTTGGTGTTCATCTCCTCCCTCCACACAAGGGAAAGGCCTCACTGAGATAAGCGAAAGCCGTAGCACCTTGCCAAGGTGCCACAGAAACACAAGAGCTTCCAGACCAGCTTGAGTAACAGTCAAGTAATGACTTCCCAGCCCTGCCCAAGCACGATGTGTCACACACAGGGGGACAAAACTTGCAAATGACTACAGCACAGCAGACACGCAAGCATTTACATCATTAATGGCAAATAAAACATGGCCCTAAATGTTACGTAGGATTGACATCATACGCTGAAGACTTAAAGGTATTTGTTTCAAAAATACAAAGGGGGACCAGCTGGCCCATCAGTTGATTATAACACTAGATGATAAAGACTGTGCCTGCTTCTGTGGAGTAGGACAGCACGGGTGGGTTACAGTAGTCAAAGCAGATGACAGACCTGTTGCAGGGTTTCAGGTGCATGAGCACATGCACATAGATGTATATAACCAGGAGTCATGAATGGTCTGTTCATTTGATCACTGGATCGACAGCTGAACTACTCACTCAATAATGCAAACTTTTTTTTTAAATCCCATTGTTTGATGACCTTTAGGAAAAGCAGCTCCCCCAGTTCTCTGAAATCTAGTTCATTCTGGAAGTTCAGATGCTCAGCCGCACAGGGCCACCTCCCAGAGAAGATATACAAGGGTTGCACATCTTCCCCCAGTGACATTCCCATTTGGGATCAGCGTGAAGTGTTTCACCTCAATGTAAAACTTACCACACTGGTGGCAGCAAGGGGCAAAAAGCATTTGAAAATCATGTTCGCAGTACTTCCTCCCTTCAAACTGCAAAGGGAAAAAATTTGAGCGTTAGAGGGATGAGGAGCATGCCCTTAACATAAATGCTGTAACATACCAGTTTGTTTCCAGATGCAATTAGCTAGTAAAACATGAGGGCCTGCACAAAAAAACAGACCATGTGCTAGGCATTAAATCCACCCACCTTAATTCAGCTACTAGTTAGCATGTAGCGTTAATAGCACACCATTCCTCTAACAGTGCAGAGAGTGTAAGGCATTTTCCATCACCCTTTTACATCACAAGAGACGGCTGAATTTTGACAGACTGCAGAAACTCTGATGCAACTGAGCGAATTCTGGGCAGGAGATTAGCTAACGAAAACCTTTCCTGAGGGGAAGCATTTTCCCTGAACCCATTTGATCTCTTCCCCACGCTACATTTCCTGCAAGAATGACCCAGCATACCGGAGGAAGTAAGTATGGGGGGAGGAGGAACACCCAGGGACAGAAATCTTTGCAATTTATGGAGCTGTACAACCAAAACATGAAGGGAAATAAGGCTTTTCCTTCATGATGCTTATTTCATAGAATCACAGAATCATTTAGGTTGGAAAAGACCCTTAAGATCATCAAGTCCAAATGTTAAGGAACAAAGTTCACTACATCAACCAGATGACATAGGGAACCGATCTTAAGGGATTTAGATTTGTATCTGAATTTTCTCACAGCTTAGAGAAGTTCAGCTGCAGTTCAAGCTCGCATAGAAAAAAAAAAACATATGGGAAAAAAAAGTTCTACAGCACTGCATTAGCAACTTAGCTGAAGAATATGTAAACACATGTAGGCAATATGTCCTGAAATGAAGGGAAATGTTTAGATACCTTCAGGCACATCATTACTAGACACGCATGCCAACTAGCATGTCAAAACCAGATGGACAATATTAGGTATGCTATGAAATGTTTGAATTTGAATGTCTCAGTTTAAAACACTGGAAAAAGGGGGACAGCAGGAAACCCCACTCCTTTCTTTTTACTGGGTCTAAGACAAAACAAAGCCAATAGCATAAAATACTACCCACGAATTAAGTTTTGGTGCACAGACAGAAAACACAGCAATATATGCTTCAAGATTACTTGTTTTATACCATGAAATTCCAAGGATCAAATACAATGTAAGTATAATAATTACTCGTGCAATATACAGAGCCACTGGCAGGATGGGGATCCAATGAAACACTCTAGAAGTCACTAGATACTTGAGATCAGAAACTAATTCCTGTGCACAACCTGAATTGCACCTACTAGGAAAAGAAAGACACATGCTCTATACAGATTCTTCCAGAAGTCTCTGCTAGCAATTTATCAAGTGTTTTTCCAGGGTAATACTCTAAAACAGATGACTTTTTTAATTGGAGATTTTTTTTTTTAATTGAGATACAGAGGGCTATTACTGTCTCAAAGAGTAATGAAAATTATTGGTTCATTGAGAACTGTGCTTGCTTCCTGCCAGATAAAATCCTTTTTAAACTGAAAAAAATCCAAAAGCTTCCTGTTTTGTATAAACAGGTGGTCCAATGCATCCATGGGTCCTGAGGGAAGTGGCAGATGAAGTTGCTAAGCCACTATCCATCATATTTGAGAAGTCATGGCAGTCCGGTGAAGTTCCCACTGACTGGAAAAGGGGAAACA